GTGTGTGTGTGTGTTATATATATATATATATATATATATATATTATATATATATATATATATTATCAATTTATTTGCATTAAAGTTTAATTATTAATATTTCATTTCTCTATTATAAAAGTTATATAATTATACACAACATGTTTTGGGGTAAGCATAATCATTAAAGTCGAAATATCTGTGACGAAATCCAAAATTTGCCGGTATGAACTGTTTTAAAATGGCGTCGCCATGTGGTTTCGAAAAACTACTGCTGTATTGCAAACAAAAAATTTTATCAAAAATAGTATATATGTAATAATTTATAAAATAATATAATAATGATAATTTTCTATTCTTTTTTTCAGGTTTAATATTAGAACCAAATAAGCGGTATACACAGACCGTTGAAAAATCATTCCATGTATCAATGGCCAGTTTAAATCTTTCAACAGCCGGTAAAATTACGTTGTATTTAAATTTTATTTATAAAAATTTAGAAAATAAATTATTCTATTATTTAAAATATATTAATTTAAAATATTGAATTATTCTTCTCTCTCTAAATCATTTCAAATTTTATTGATTATAGATGACAATGTGGTACAAGTAATGTTATATTATGAAAATAGTAGTTATTTATTATGCAATTTAAAAAAGAGCTCAACATGGCAGGTACCACTTGATTTAAATTTTCAAGAAGGAACTACGATAGCATTCATATGTCATGGCCATGGTCAGGTTCATTTAACTGGTTATTTAATACCTGATGAGGATTTGGATTTAGATGAGATAGAAGAAGAAGAAGATGAGCAGGTACCACAATTACTTGACAAACAATCTAAGAGAAAAGCTACAGATTCTTTAAAAAATGAGAAAAATGTTAAACGTCTTAAACAAGAAATTGAAGCTGAATCTTCTGATGAAGATATAGAACTTGATGGAGTAAATGAAGAAAATGACTCTGATGACTCTGAAGAAGATGAAGATTCATTATTAAATGAAGAAGAAACTGAAGAAGATGAAGAAGATGAAGAAAAAAATGAACAAGATGAAGAAGAAAAAAAGATAAAGATTCAACAAAAAGATAAAAAAAATAAACAGCAACAAAAAAAAAGAGAAGATAAACTAATAATAAATGGAAAAGAAATAAAACAAGAAAAAAATAAAGGAGAACAACAACAAAATGAAGTGAATGTTCAAACTGATCAAAAAAAAAGAGTAGTAGAAGGTGGAGTGCAAATAGAAGAATTAAAAATAGGTAATGGCTCTATTGCTAAGAATGGAAAATTTGTGTCTGTATATTATGTAGGTCGTTTGAAAAATGGAAAAAAGTTTGATGCAACAACACACGGAGATGGTTTTAAATTTAGACTTGGAAAAGGTGAAGTAATTAAAGGATGGGACATTGGTATTGCAGGAATGAAAGTTGGAGGAAAACGTCGTATTACAATACCTCCAGCTATGGCGTATGTATTACTTATTGTTATTTATAAATTAAATGTATTGTTTTTGTTTTAGATATATTATTATTTCTTACAAACAATATATTTGTTATAGATATGGTGCAAAAGGTTCACCACCCGTCATTCCTGGTAATAGTACATTAATGTTTGAAGTGGAACTTAGGAATGTACATTAAAAAAAATTTCTGAATAAACTTTTTATTGATATTTAAGTGTTTGTTAAGTGACATATAATGTATTTTAAACTAATAAACGTAATATCCTTTTTTATTACTTAAAAAGAGTTCAATTTTATTTAAAATACGATGTAAGATAATAAATAATTATATTAAAATATAAAATATGAATTTATGTATGTTTTATATTTATTGTGAATAATATACATAACATATCATTGACATATATTAATAATAAACAATTTGCATGAAATAGAATACTAATTATTTAAAAAATTATAAACAAATATAAAATTTAATGGATATTATGCAATAAAGTATTAAACAAAAATGGTATTTATAAATTTTAAAGCTTTTTAATCAAATTTTTTATTTTCTTTTTTTGACCATGATAATGTACAAACTCCATTTTTACATTCTTTCACCAATTGTTGTTGTTCATTATTTATTAATTCTTTCTGTTTGTTTCTAAACTGCCACCATTTTATAAATAATGGTTGTATAAAAAATCTCCATATAATGAGAAATATAGGTATAGCCACACATGGTACACATACCATTTTTTATTTAAAATCTGAAATAATATAGGTTATAGATAATATTATAACTAATAAGTAATTCGATAAACATTTCATTTTTCCATATAATCACTTTCACAATAATTGATATAGATAAAAGTTGAATTCATACCTTAAATCACACAAATAAAATTTTTATTATTGACAAAACGATTGAGTAAATAACAGATAATGCGAAAATATATAAATCAATATAACCTTTATATTAAGTATTAAATATTTAATTTTATAATTATGTAATTTACTTTACTATTTTAAATATAAAAGAATTATTAAAATAACTTTATTAATATTAATACTTTCATTAAGACTTTAATTTTGCATATATTGTTTTTTATTATAATAACAGATCATCAAGTTATATTTGACATTACTTGTACTGTATACTCATTCGTAAAAGCATGCGCAATTATTGATTTTAATAGATAATTTAAATAATGTTTTGTGAACAAACAAAAATTTTTTTTTGCAAATTAAAATATGCATTTTTTTGACAGATAAGTATCTTCAATCATTAATTAGATATTATTAATTTAATAAAAACAATAAATTATAAAAATGTAAATAATTATACTGAAAAGAATATTAATATTAAAATTACGTTTTTTATTTATTTATTCAAATTTATTATCATATAATTTGAATATTTATAAATAATTTTCATTTTGTTTATCTTAATTATCGCTTAATATTTATTTTTTATTCATTATTATTTATTTATTATTTTATTTACTTTTTATATATATTGTATATTAATATTCATATGTGAGAACATGGTCACAGCCATATATTGCCAATAGGATTTATTATCCTATTAATTTAACTTAGTGATATAAGGTACTAAAAATACGTAAAGTACTTGGGTAAGGTACTAAAAATAAAGCAAGTATCAGTCAATATATTTACTATTATAATTGTTAGAGTATTTCAATTAAGTTTTTATCATTTGTAAATAACATTACATACTTCCAAATACTTTACGACCTTTCGTTACGGATAAGGAGACAATGACAACACTTAAAACAAAAAAGACTAGTCCAAAGAAGGCAGTTAAAAGTCTGCACCATTGTCGTTTTCGTTTTGCTTTTGCAATTACATGACCCAAACGTTCTGCTCGTGGAACATCAAGCGTGAAATCTAAATTTTCAGCGAATCCTTGCATACGATAATCCCAATTATTTTTATTGGATGAGAAGATTCTATCTTTGTTGAATGAATCACCGTCACTGCACTCCAACTGCTGAAACATTAGTCTTGATACGTTTGTTATATTGATATTGTGAATATTGTTATTTGCGCTGTTATTATATACAAGAAAAACATTTTTAAATTGTATATTTATTTAATTACTTATTTAAAGTAAATGCTTATGTCTCGTATACGTTTGTAAAAATATGTTCATTCATTAATGAAACATTCATCAACTACAAAATTATAAAAATCTATCTTGAAATTATTTTATAGTTTAAAAGTGTACATATATAGACTTACCTTAGAATATTCTGGATCATTAGAAATAATTTTATTCCGATCCTGTTTAGTTTCTTCATTGATATTAATCGTCTCTTTTATATCATTTTTAATATAACGATTCATATATATATTTTTTATTTTTTATTATGAAAAATTGAATGATTTAAGCATTTGCAATACGATTTAGAATTATTTATATTGTTTTGTAATAATTCTGATTTTATTTTTTGGTATTGATTATCCATTAAAAGCATAAGAGGCGGATTTTCTTTTCTCTTCAATTCATCACTCATTGTTTTTTCTTCGTCATTTTTTGAAGATAGAAATCTACAAGTATGTTCACAAGTGCATAAACAAGTATACCAAGGATTGTATAGATGAGAATTTCGTGTATTATTATAAAGTTTTGAATTTACTGGATTGATTTTCGACGATGAATTTTTATTACAACTTAATTCATATGGATTCGTATCATTTAAAAATGATCGTTTGCTCGGTAAAAAAGAAGAATTATGATAAACATATTCATAAAACTCCCCTTTAAAATCAATTCCTTGCGCAACCTGATATGAAATATTTTGTAATATCTTTTCTGGTGTCATAGTATTTTTGCCTTCTATCATGGAATCCAATGTTTGAGATAATTCAAGAAGGACTTCTTGTGCTGACATATTTATAGATTTTTCATAATCCCAATCGCAATATGAATAGGTGTATGCGCAACTACATCCGCAACATGTATATAAAGCTATTATAAATTATAATAAATCACAATATGAACATTTCAATATTTTTAATATAAAAAAGAATTATTTTTCATACAAAAGTATCACTACTTACTATCATATTCAGAATTTTCGTTGTTTTGGTAAAGTTCCCGCGAATTAAAAAATGTGGTCGGCCAAATAGGACGTGGAATTGCCTCACTTTCATGAATTACAGCAAGTCCTCCATTGAATTGGTCCTTCATTGTCAAAGATACACGTCGAAAAAAATTTTGATTGGAAATTGCTGATGTATAACAAGAATATGAATCAGCTGATAATGATGGAGAATGACTGGAATAACCAGAACAGGTCGAAGTTCGGCAACATTTTCTTAGATTATTTCGTGTTATAGTTGACAAACTAGCTATAAATCTTGAAACATAAACATCTAACGAGTCAGCTTCCATCCTGAAGATAATTTCTTCTACTTTATTTTAATATTTATTTATCATATTATATTTATCATATAATTTCAAATATTATTTATAATTTATATTTTGAATAACAATTTACATATTGCAGAATGAAGAAATTTAATTTACCATTTTATCTCGTGTAAATCGGCTCGTGGTATAGCGTACAGATTATGGAGATTGCAAGCAAATCTTTCATTCGATGGATGTAAAGACAATTTGATAGTTTCACTGTCAGAATTAGTTTGGTTTTCATCTGAAACTGCCAAAACCGTTGCGATTGCCGCACTGGAATAAAATTTCCCGCGTTCCAGCATTCCCTGTTACGGTTCAATAATATTTCCTATGTGAAATTCCCAATTGAAATTTTAAAAAACGTATCTTTTATTTTTAACAATGTCATAAATTTATATAGAATATTAATAATATGTTAATTATATAAAGATTGCTAATATATTTATAGAACACTTTTAAATTATATAACCAAAATAAATATAAAACTTAGTATATAAAAATATCGGTTCAAACTTATTTAATTATAAACAATTTTAAATTTATGTTAGATGAAATGAATAAAATGAGATAAACGAATAAATAATGCTATTAATTGAACTTTAAAAAAAATTAATATTTAAAGAATTTTATATATATAATATCTCTTAAAATTTATTTATTGTTAAAAAAAAATTTTGATAATTATTAAGTATATTATTTAAATAATGTATATATTTATACATTCATACCTTAATAATTTGTGGTTAATAATCGTTGCTGCATAAATCAGATACAGGTTCATCCAATAACCATTGCTGCATGCTTCTCTAGAATAATTGACTTCGAACAAATAGTTGTTCGCTTTCATTCTTAAATTCCTTCATTTTCATTAATTTTTTAACATTTTTTTATATTTTAATATTATCTAATATTATCACTGTAAAAAATATATAAATATATATAAAAATATATATAATAATATAAATATTATTTTCAATATAATTATCATTTAAACATCAATATAAAGGATATATTTAAATTTTATAAAAACTGATTTATTAAACTCTGTTTAAATTTATAATCATTAATTCTATATTTATAGAAAAAAAATTATAATTTAGAAAACTATATAATTGATTAAATTAATATATTAATATTATAACTTAATTTTTTAAAATTTGAAATTTTAACTATATAATCTGATTTAGAGAGAAATCTTTTTGAATAGATATTTATTGGACATTAGTATTGATGCGAAGGATGTTCCAAAGTTTCAAGGTCGCTTTCACATTTGTCATGTTCACGTAAGAAATTGGACAACGTGAAATGAATATTACGTTATTCAGGACATTCTTTATAAACCGATGATAATATAAAATAATGCAAAATTTTTGCAATAATTATGTTTTATTGTATAATTTTTTGAAAAACAATTTTGTCATTATTTTTTATATTGATATTCTTATTTTCATACTCTTATATTCTTTAAATTTTATAATATAATTGACTATTTTATAATTCAAAATAATATTAAAGTGTAACATATTAATTATAATATAATTATATATATAATTATATTATGTGTAATAATTAAGTGCAATATAATTATGATTTTTATTAAAAATTCAATTTATAATTATTTATAATTATGAAATATTGTAATTTAAAGAATAAGATATTGTTATAATAAAACAAGTTTTAAATAAAAAAACGAATATTTAAAAATATCAGATAAAACTGAATATTTAATGAATTGATAATTATAGTATATCAAAAGTATGATTCACGTATGTACAAACACATATAAACATGGTACTCCAATTACCTGGTACCATGGATCAGTGTACACACCGCAGCGCCCAGCACTCTGCATTCCGCCTCTTTTAGTCGACCACTTTCACGTCACTATAGCTCACTGTCTGATGTTCACGTATTACACCCTGGAATGTCGATTGATGTTACGTTAAAAGTCCTATACTTGGAGAAATTGTAATTCCAATCAAAAGTTATTACATAGATATATTATGTAATCGAAATATAATGTTTTTCAAAATTTTTATAAGAAATATATAAATTATCTATTATAAATTAATAGATATTAAATTCATTATGTATTTTGTAACTTGCACTTATTTTTATTAAGTGATTTTATTTATTTCTTTATTTGATTTTTTGTTTTATAATTCTACGATTTTGGTTTTTAACAATTTAAGATAATAATAAACATGAATTAACCAGTAGCATTATAAAAGATGATAGAAAATTTGTGAGAAGTCTACAAATCGAAGTTACAAAAAATATTTAACTTACAAACTTTCACTCGCACTTATTCAGGTTCGTCATATGAAAACGGACTGCCCCATGATTCGAAAATAAATTCCGCAATTCTCCATTATACTACTTTCCTACATTTGAAAGGAGCAAACTTGTCTTCTTAATTAGTTAACAGATATGAAAAAACTTTCACGATATTATATGAAAATGTTATGTATAATTTACAATTAGATAAATTTTCTCTATTTTTTTTTATTTTGTTTTTTTTCTTCTTTTATTCTTTTTTTATAAAAGTAATCAAAAATTTATTTCATATTCATTTTAAGATAGTTTTGAAGAGTTAGTTAAATTATAAATTATTTAGTTTCTATATATATAAAATTCTATAAAATTAGTATTGTAATAATGTGATTTTCATTTTAAAATTTACATTGTTTTACAATGTTACGAAAATATTTGAACATATAAATTAATTTATTATTTTTTACTTTAAATAAATACAATATAAAAATAATATATTATTGAATTATATATTTTATTTTATATTAAAGTTGATAATTAATAAAAAATATATATTTTAATATATTTTTATATTTAATATATTTTAATATATATTTTAATAATAATAAATATATATTTTACAAATGATGATGTAAATATTAATATATAATAATTAATTCATATAGTTTTATAACTGTGCAATAAAATAAAAATCTGAAAATATTGGTTGATAATATACGATACAAATTTATATAATATTAATAAGAATTTTCTTTTAATATTACAAAAAAAATAAAATTAATCTTTGACAAAACATAGCTTTCATATATGTAAATTTCATATCAATAATAAATATATGTATAAAATTTAGCGTTAAAATGGAGTAAATAATCAAAGAATAATATAGCTTTTTTCTCACGAAAAGAAGTACAAAAATAACAATTGCTTTATGAGCGTATCTACATATTCAACGAACAATCAGATTATGTGAGTTTTGTTATTTCTATATATATAAGTACTCATATGTGTTTGAAGTAAGTACCTTGAACATACGATGCAATAGTCAAAGAAAAATACGTAATTTAATATTCTTCTTATTAATATTAATTATTTTTTATTTTATTTTTTATTGAAATGTAGTTATTCAAATCATAAATAGAATACTGAAGTTAAGAAATAAATATTCAAATTATTACATAAAATATTTTTTATAATAAAAGATAACTTATTATATAATTAAAAACTATTAAGAATATTTTCAATCAAAACAATATATAATTAACGATAATTAATAAAATAAATTACATGGAAATTCTATTATTCTTATATTTATGTAATTATAATTTATTTTCAATTTAAATTAAAATATATTTATTTTGTAATATATTATATATTTTAAACATATATTATAAACATTATATGAAACATATAATGTATCCTAATGAAAATCATTAGATTTTTAATACAGAATTAATAATTAATATTCGTAACAAAAATTTAGATATGAAAAGTTGATTAAAATCAAAAACAGATGAAAAAAATTAATCTAATTTATTATTGAAGTTTTTTACTAAAGCTTGATTTTAAAATTGAATAATTTGAAGAAAATATTTTTTTAAATTATTAATTAAAATTACTTTAAATTTTTGATATTACATTTTACAAAACATTAAAATTTTTACTATATTATTACAACAAAAATAAAATAATTTATTTAAGCTACAAAAGAGTAATGATTAACAATTTATGAAAGTAAATGATTAAAGATTTTCCGGGATATGTAGTTGAGAAAGATCGAAATTGAATAGACCTTGAATTTTCGAATAAGATGATGATTCGTGAACCATTGATTATCTCATATTTCTACATCGTTCGAATCTAACATGTATACATATATATATTCTATTGAGTATTCATTTTCCTTTATTATTATAGACTATCATATAACACTTTTTTTTTAAATGTATATACATATTCGTTTTCTAAATCAATTTTATTCAAATTGTTATTATGTATACACTTAAATTATAATTAATCTAATAGTTGTACTGTAGTTAATTAATTTGTTTAGATAAAATTTTATTAAAATTTTTTATATAAAAAATCATGAAATTAATGTAACATATTTTTAGTAAAATAACAAAAATGATCTTTTTTGCAAATTTTTATCAAAGAAAAAAAATCAAAGAGAGTTAACTGAATAGTCAAAATAAAAAGTCATTCGCAAATATTTTAGAATTTTATGAATTGAATAATTAAAATTAAAAATAAAAACAAACTTCTAAATAAGAGTAACGAATGAACTTTTGGAAATATATATTCTAAGAAGAATAACTAGTTAAAACAATGTATAATCTTAACTAATTAAACAATATATAATCAATGCAAATGCAATACTGCAGGTGTTCTTAAGGTATATATAAAACATTGTCTATTATTAAAACATAATGTTATATTATATTTAATCATATTCATTGATTTTATAATTTAATTAATTAATTTGTTAAAGAATTAAAATAAAAATATTATCTATATATTCATATTTTTCTTAAATATATATATATAAAATTTAAAAAAGTTATGTATATATTTAAGAGCTGAATCATTAAAAGTGCTATATAATAAATAATAAATAATTAATATCTATTATAAATATTTATTACTAATAATTAAAATAAAAAATAATGAAAAATAATATATTATAAATTATTCGTAAAGTTTATTAAAAATAAAATCTTTATAATATATAAATATTTCTAAATATTAATTTTTTTGTATTGATATTCTTAATTTTATAATTGTATAAAATTCTAAAAATTAACTTACATGAGAAATAAAAAATTCAAAGAGAAAAATATCAATAACAATCCATGATTAGAAACGATTTATAAAAAAATAATTAATTGAAGAATTAAAATTTAATATTTTTAAACAATTAAATTAAGTGTAATTCTTAATTCTTATAATTGTAAATTGAATTTTAAATTATTACTTTTTTTTTTTAAAATTTATATATATATATATTTTTAAGTACCTTTAAGCAAGCCTATTTCAATTTTCTTTCTATGTCAATAAACTTTGTATGAAGGAGGCTGGGCGCTCGGAAGATAAAACTTTCACACGCGTGCTAGCGTGACCGTTACACTCGCGACGTTCCACTCACAAACTCCCAAAAGAAACTGAAAGTCCCGTTTCTTCGTAGTGTAAACGCTCATTCAAAATCTTCAATCTCATGATCTCTTTGCTATTACATTCACATAACAAATATTAACTACTCATTTTATCTACATTTCTGTTTTGATTTATTTAAATTAATTAAGAGAATAATAAATAATGTTTAATAATATAATAAATAATGTAATAATATTTAATAATTTATTTTATATAAGAAAAAATAAATATATAAAATTTACGATATTTTATATTTATGAAATTAATGATGGAATAATAAAAATAATATAATAAACAGTAACTTAGTATTAAAAATTCATTAAAATGAAGATGAATTTAAAGTATCTAAGATTTACAAAAAAAGATGCGTATAGAAATAGAGATATCCTATTTAATAGGAAGGAGGAAGAATGAATTAATAAGAAATTTAATGACATCATAGATTCACAAAAACTTTCGATACTATTCCATTAAATGTATTTTTAATGGATAATGTAAAATATAAAATATATTTTTAAAATGTATTATACTTTGTGTATAAATATTGTTTACAGAAAAATATACACTTCTACACTATATATATAAAAAAATTATTAATCATTATAATAAAATTAATCAGATATTGGAGCCTCTTAAATATATAAATCTTATACAGCAAATAGAAAAAAAAGAGCAAATAATAAAATAAAAATAGACTAAAAATATTAAAATATTAAAATATTAAAATCATTTGTAGAATATGAAACATAGAAAAGATAAAATAATGAGAGAAAAATAAAGATAGAATAAGAATAAATTATCAATGCCATCTCTTGAATATTAAAGACATTTCTTCAAAAGCAGGGTAAAATAGGGTAAAAATTAAAAATTACTAGTATATATTGAATACTATTGAAAAGATGTTTCTAATATTTAAAAGATGTCACTGATCTTCAATTCTTATTCTGATTTAAAAAGATATTTGAGAGATGGTGCTCATAGTTTGTTTTATCTTATTTTTATCCTATTTCTTATTCTTTCTATATTTCATTTGAAACATTCTGTGAATGATATTAATTGCTCAATTTTTATTATCTCTATCTTTCTGTTATTATTTATTTTTTTTATCTATATTTACTTTTAGCGCGTAACCACAAATGAAGTACGAGATATGAATTGAATACACTTTTATCATTTCTTTTTCAATTCTTTAATTTATAATTATTTCAAATATAAATAATTTTTAAATATTTGAAAAACTTGTAATTTGTAAACATTTAAAAAAAAATTAAATTTAATTAATTAAAAAATATATTAATTTTATTTTTAAAAATATAATCTATAATAATTACACAACTAATTTATGAATTAATCTTACTCTATAATCGATTCGAAATGAACATCTATTTTAAAATAAATTAAAAAATAAAAGTTATATAAATAATATGCATAACAATATTTTTTCTGATTTCTAAATCTGGTTTCTTCTTGTTTAATACAAAGTTTTTTATAATTAAAAAAATGTACATAATAGCGTGAAACCATCATTCCAATTATTTATCTCACAATAATTTATATAAATATATATATAAACATATAAATAATTAATTTATATCAATATTTGTTCTATTTCTTATTTGCAATTTTTGTTAAAATTTTAATTTTAATTTCAATTATTACTAATATGAATAATAATAATATTGGGAATGAACTAAAATGATAAGGAAATCTTAATAAATAAAAAATGCATTAAATATTATATCTATTCTATATCTTATTTGAGATTCAATCAAACGATATGTAAAGTTAATAAGACATAAATGTCCAAAACAGAAATAAGTATACAATATTATTGAAAAGCTCTTTACTCAAATAGATTCAAATTTTATTAAATAAAATCGTATCATTTTTTATATGACAATAAAAAAATTAATAATCGTAATAATTAATTAATATATACCTGCATTTTTATGGCAAATTTTGTCATAAAAAAAATAAAATATTTATTTGTCTACACTGATACGAATCAACTATACGATATATCAAAAGAAAGAAACGAATATTCATTTTTATATGTATTTGAATTTATGATTTTGAAATATATATTTGTACACTTGAAATAAGAAAATTAATAAAATTATATAAAATTAATGTAAAATGGTGATTAATGTAAAAATGACTATCGATAATCGATTAGTCATTCGATATATAATTATATAATCGATAGTTGATATAAAGTATCGATAAATATAAACATTAATCTTGATTTGTCCCAAGAATCGATGAAAATTGTACATACATAACTTTATATTTATAATGGCTAATTTTACTGAAGACTTATTTGATGTTTTTGAAGAAGCAGAAGATATAGTAGAAGTGATTCCAACTCCGGTGAAACCAAGAAATGAAGATTTAAATACATCGTTTAATGAAAAGTAAGTATAAACTATTCCATAACCTCTCTATTATATTGATATTTTAAATATAATATAAAAAATATTTTTAATTAAAAGAAATAATACATAAGAAATAATAACACAGGAAAACTAATTTAGAAAGTGGCACTAAACGGGAATTTGAAAATGATTCTGATGAATTAGTTTCCAAAAAATTACGATCTGATCCTGTATTGGAAGATTTAAAGTAAGTCTTTTTATAAAACTTTTTATAAAGTTTTATTTAAACTATGATAACTATATATATTTTTGAATATATATTTTTTAAATTTGTATAGTATAGAAGAATTAGCACCACGTATTAAAATACATACAATAGAAACAATTGAATCATGTACACATGAAGTTGCAGTTCCTCCAGATTATGAATATGTACCATTAGAGAGTAAACAAAGCAAACCAGCAAAAGAATACAAATTTGTATTAGATCCTTTCCAAAAAGAAGCAATCTTATGTATTGAAAATAATCAATCTGTTTTAGTTTCTGCACATACATCAGCTGGTAAAACTGTTGTTGCAGAGTATGTATTTAAAATTTGAAAAAAGTAATTAATATTAGATATATCTATTATTATAATCATATAGATAATTTTCAAAAATTTATAGATATGCAATAGCATGTTCATTAAGAGATAAGCAAAGAGTTATTTATACAACACCTATAAAGGCATTAAGTAATCAAAAGTATAGAGAATTTTTTGAAGAATTTAAAGATGTAGGTTTAGTAACTGGAGATGTAACAATTAATCCAACAGCAAGTGTGCTTATTATGACTACTGAAATTTTAAGAAATATGCTTTATCGTGGATCTGAGGTTTTTAAAATTTTTATTATATTATATTGTATGTAAATGATAGTAATTTAAATAATATATATAATATTTAAGGTAATGCGTGAAGTTGGATGGGTAATTTTTGATGAAATTCATTATATGCGTGATAAAGAAAGGGGAGTTGTATGGGAAGAAACATTAATATTATTACCAGATAATGTGCACTATGTATTTCTTTCTGCTACTATACCTAATGCCAGACAATTTGTAGAATGGGTTGCACATTTACATAAGCAACCATGTCATGTTGTTTATACAGATTACAGACCAACTCCTTTACAACATTATATATTTCCTGTTGGTGGAGATGGTATTCATTTGGTTCGTAAAAACTATAATAAATAAATTATTTATTATAAAATGAAAATTTCATTTAAATAATATATTTATATTTATACGTAGGTTGTGGATGAAATGGGACAATTTAAAGAAGAAAATTTTAATAGGGCAATGGCTTGTTTGCAACATAGTGATGCAGCTAAAGGAGATAGTAAAGGTCGCAAAGGTGGTATTCGTCCATCAAATGCTGGACAAACAAATATTTTTAAAATGGTCAAAATGATTATGGAAAGAAATTTTGCACCTGTAATTATATTTAGCTTTTCCAAGAAAGATTGTGAGATATATGCCATGCAAATGGCTAAATTAGATTTGAATACATTAGAAGAAAAAAAGTTGGTAGATGAAGTATTTAATAATGCTATGGATGTTCTTAATGAAGAAGATCGACGTTTACCACAAGTTGAAAATGTGCTACCACTTTTAAGACGAGGAATAGGAATTCATCATGGTGGACTTTTACCTATTCTGAAAGAAACTGTAGAAATATTATTTGGTGAAGGATTAATAAAAGCATTATTTGCAACAGAAACTTTTGCTATGGGATTAAATATGCCAGCACGAACAGTTTTATTTACAGCATCACGAAAATTTGATGGTAAAGACTTTCGTTGGATTACATCTGGAGAATATATACAAATGTCTGGTCGAGCAGGTAGAAGAGGTTTAGATGAAAAGGGAATAGTAATATTAATGATAGATGAGCAAGTTAGTCCAGTTGTTGGTAAAGCAATTGTACAAGGAAAACCAGATCCTATTAATTCAGCATTTCATTTAACTTATAATATGGTTTTAAATCTTTTGAGAGTTGAAGAAATTAATCCTGAATATATGCTTGAAAGAAGTTTTTATCAATTTCAAAATCAAGCCTCTATTCCAGATCTATATAACAGTAAGTAAATCTATTCATTTATTAAATTTTAAATCAAAATAAAATACTTTTTATATATTTTAAATCAAAATAAAATATTTTTATATTTTTATGTAAAAATATTTACATAATTATATATTCATATATATATATACTTATATTTTATATGTATCATTGTAGAAGTAAAGGATTTACAAGGTGCATATAATGCAGTAACTATTGATAGGTATAATCACATATCTTCCTATCATGATATACGTGAGCAACTTGAACATCTTAGTAGTGAATTTAGATGTTTTTTAACAAAACCAGAATATTTACTTCCATTTTTACAACCTGGAAGATTAGTAAAAGTAAATATTTATATATAACATTTATATTAGAAATTATTTTTTTTAATTATATTGGCACTTGTAGGTAAAAAATGAAAATGAAATGTTTGATTGGGGTATAATTGTAAATTTCAAAAAAAAAAATCCTAAAAATCCAATAAGAGAAAATACTGTTATTATTATTGATATATTACTTCACATTTCTAAAAACTCTAGTGAAGGATGTCCTGTACCTTGTCGAGAAGGAGAAGAAGGTGACATGGAAG